TGTCACAGTTTTTCTCCTCTTGTTGGCTTTTACTGCTATTGTTCATTGAAAACTTTAATATATTATTTTGTTTGGTTTTGGGTGATGCTTAAATTGCAAATTTTGAAATAATTAACCATTATTTGCTACTCTAGAATTGATTTTTTTTAATGATCTTTGTTGATGTCAAATTTTGTACATGTCGTCACGTACAGAACGATTCAAAAGTGTTGTTTCACTTTGCTTGAAAGTATATGATAGAATGCTTGATCGCCACAAGGAGTGGTAACTATAAGCACTTTATGCTTGAAGTGACTGTGTCGTCCAAATTGAGTCTTTTTAGAAAGGTAATTAAAATAATAATAGATTTTTGTTTCTTGGACCACTTGTTGGTTGCATTAAAGATTTTCAATCTTTGTTTAGTATTAGATTTATGTACTCAATTTTTTATTCTCATTTGTATATTAGCCCCTGCTTGGCCACCATTATTTTACATTTTTGGGGGTTAAAAATTTTTGGAATAGTGATTGATAGAAGAATGTGTGGTTGAAATTTTTTTGATTTGTGTGTAATATTATTTTATTTGATGAATGTATGGTTGAAATGAAGAGAGAAAAATTTAATGTAATGTAATGTAATTTAATAGGGGCCAAACAAGGGCTTAATCTTTCATTAATTAACACAACAATTTCTGCCCATTAATTTTTTATTTGTTTTTTCTTATTTAAAAATATGTGGGACAATTAAGTATTTTTACAATTTCCTAACAGGTTTATTGGACGGGGTCGGGACAAGTGTGCTAATTAATACTCTTTCCGTCCCAATTATATAGGCTGAGTTTTCTTTTTTTCTTGTCCCAAATATATAGGCATGTTTCTTAATGTAGAATATTTTATTGTGTTCATTTACCAATATACCCTTATTAAATTTTCCTCACTTAATATACCAATTTCTTGAAATCATCCAAATACACACATTTTTCACTTCTTGGAAATATGGAACAACTCTCATTTCTTCTTCTTCAATTTTTTTATTAATTCCAACAATAATTTAGTTTTATAACAATTTTTTTATTAATTCCAACTCTCATTTCTTCTTCTTCACATCCACCCCCACTAGCTCTCGCCTGCCACAAAACAAACAAAATCCAACCCAATTTGATTGAACCCCCAAATCTCACCTCCACGTCGCCGCCGCCTATGACTCCTCCAAGCCCTTCCGCCACCTCCTCTCTCACACTCAAATCGCTCTCCACTCTCAACACTCTCC